TAAATGAACATCAAAATACAATTCTTACATAAATTACATATCCTCATGAGGTATTACACTTATATGAACAATATGTTTATTAAAAACCTTTGGTGGTAATCCCTCGATAAATGGATCTATTACCATGAAGTTTGTCCAAATATATTTTATAGATACTTAATCACTCTCAACTATTTTCTTAACAATTAAGAACTTGATGTTTATATGTTTAGATTTAGTCAAGCTCCTTTTGTTACTTTAAACATAATGGTTAACTTTTTATCACAAATAACTTTAATAATCTTTTAATTTCATCTAAAATTTGTAACCTTTTAACTCTTCTATGATATAGCTCATCTAACTAGTAAGTAAATATCTTCACATCATATGTCACTTCATCCAACCAACTAGTAGACATCTTCACCAAGAGCTTTACAAGAGTGCCCTATGATGCTATATGTACCAATCTAGATATGTTTGACTTATATATTTTAGCTTGAGAGGGAGTGTTTGAACATCCTCCTTTATATGGCCCACTTGGACTCATTATCTCTCTCTTCTCCCACTTATGTAAACACATGTATCTCTTTATTTGATGTTCATCTGATCTTAGAATTTAACCCTTTTCATCAACATGGTATGAGAGCCCTAGGGTTCTTTCTAACTGCCACTGCCACCACCATTGTGATGCTGCCACCGCACCTACCATCACCATCGTGTCACTACTACTGCACCTATCGTCGCCATCATGCCGTTGCCGCCGCATCCAATGCATGTTCTCCTCTATCTCACTCTCTATGTCGTCCTCTACTACATGCTGCCATCAACAATGCCGTTGAAATTTGCTGCTGCACCGCACGCAAATAGTGCACTTGCACATAGCCCTATTGCTGTGACCCCTACCATTGCAACCCGATGTTGTCATGCCCCCCTTACCATTGGGGCCCCTACTACCACGGCCTCTACTATCGTGACCCTTGCCATCGCTTGCGGCCCTTGCTTTCATAGTATTTCACAGTATATTACAGTATTGTCTCCTACTACACCATGGTATCTTGCCGTCACAATCGTTGCTCTCGTAGTATATGCCACTATGATATCTTAGAGTATCTCAAAGTATCTCTCGATATCTAGTAATATTATCTCTTACTACACTGCCTCCCTTCCATTGTGTCTTCCACTGAGAATAGTTTGAGTGTTTTCAAACTCATCTTGGATACACCTTCCTCTGGCATTCGAGTACTTTTTGTTGCTTCCACTACTACTTCTTTTCTTTTGTGACACTGTCGTTTAGGTCATCCTTGTTTTTCAAATCTTTTAAAAAATTTATTGTAGTTGATTGTTAATAAATTTGTGTGTGAATCATGTCAACTAGGCAAACATCATGATTCCTCTTATTCTAGTTGTGACACTATTTCATCTTTGACTCTATTTGATTTTTATTCATTGTGATGTTTGGGGACCCTCTCGAGTTGCTTTCATTACTAGACATCTCTATCACATCATTTTTATTGATGATTAAACTTGTGTGAGTTTGATTTATCTCCTCCATAATCTGTTCCAAGTTTTCTTTATTTTTATTCAATTTATCACTAAGATTGTCACCTAATTTATCATTAAGATTGTTACTTAATAATATACTAAAAATACTCATTAATTACCTTAAAGTGAATATATTTTAGAATCAAATATCTTATTTTAGCATTTTATTATTTAAAAAATTGTTAAATAATTCATTTTAACGATTCTAAGAAAATATTTTATTTTATAAAAAAAATTAAAAATTGTATGACTTTGTTTTAGATCTATTTTGATATGTTTAAGTCATGAGGATATTAAAATAATTTCAAGAAATATGTATGCATTATTTCACACATTCTCAGGCCTTTTCTACATTTTCTCACAATTAACGACATGTGTCAGTTGTTAGTATTTATATATATTTGATGTGCCATTGTATGTGATGTAGTGGTATCATAATTATTTAATTCATGAATATTTTATTCAAGTTGTAATTACGTGGACTGCAAGAAGATGTGGAGCACCATATCATACGAAATGCAAGAATATGATGTATCACATGTGAATGGAAAGTAATAAGACATGGACCAGCAATCAAGGATTACTATGACTCTTATTTTCGGTTGTTATGGACGTCTTGTCACCGAAAGCAATAGTTAAAGACATCTCTTCTCCTTAACTATCAGCTTTTGATGGTTAAAGATGTCTTGTCACCGTAAGTAGTGGTTAAATATGTCTCTTTGCCTTAACTGTGAGCTTTTAGTGGTTAGGAATGTCTTGTCACTATAAGTGACGATTAAAGACATCTCTTCTCGACTATCACTTTTTGGTGGTTCTTTTACGGTGAAGACACCCATTTAATGGCACAAATTTCTCCACCTTTTAGGATCAATATCTGACAATCCAAAAGATGTTTCAAGTGTAAATGTTGTGGGCATGATCTTCAAGATGTGCTCTTCACATCTCTATATTCTGATCGACAAATTGGCTTCAAGAAGGTTGTGAAAAAGAAGGAGATGAGTGAGTTGTATTTTGAGAAAAAGCTAAGGGTATTTTAGAAAATTTTACTTGTATGTATTCTCTTCACTCCCTTTCTTTCTCATCTTTTAGAAGGAGTCCTAATAATGAAACATTTTTTATTCAAAAGATCCATCCTTCTTCCCATTTTGAGTAATCTTGAGTAATCAAGAGAGGCCTTGAGGGTGAAGTTGAGTGTTGAAAATTGAGTTGCAAGGAGCAAAGTGTTAAAGATCAACTTGTCAAAGGAAACTATATGACCTTGGCAATAGATAAAGTCCCAGGTTAAGAAATCTTCTTCCTTTTACTTATCTATTTTTCTTCATCCCTAAGGTGAAACTTAGGATTTTAGATAGGTTCTTAGTAGTTACTTTTTTCTTTTCAACCTTGACCACTCTTTCTCATTAAAATACTTTCAAAACTTCTTCTCTATAGCCCCTAGGTCAATCTTGATCTAGAGTTTCCTTCATTAAATCTCATTTCACCCATATTTCTCATCTCTCTTTCTATTTTTCATCTTCTAACTTATTTCTTCTCATTATATAGGATTTTTTAAGATCATTAGTTTTTCTCTTTATGATTTGACCCCCATCTTACCTTCTCTACTTATTAGATTGATTAGGATAATAGAAAAAAAAAAAATTGCATAACCCTACTCGAGACCTATGACATCTTAAGTTGAGTTATCATTACTCAATATTCTACCACACTCGAGGTTCTTCACATGGACAATGTACTTGAACTTATTCAAAATATTATTCGTACCTTTTGTATTGATCATGGTATTATTCATCAAATCATTTGCCCATATATTTTATAACAAAATAGAGTTGTCGAATGTACACACTGCCACTTACTTTACACCACTTGCACACTACTCATTAAGATGCATGTTACGCAGTACTTGTGGTCTGACACACTCTTAACTGTCACTTTTTTTACCTCCTCAAGTTTTTGGTTGCATCATTTTCATTCATGATTACTCGTCATCTTTCTCTAAACTCATTCCTCATGGTCTCAAAAGTGTCTTTGTGAGTTATTCATCCATCCAAAAGGATTATTGGGTATACTTCCCAACACCCATCACTATGTGACTTTTGTTGATGTTACTTTTCATGAGAATTTTTTTATCCGTCTCCATTTTCTTGTCCATCTACATCTCCACCCCCTAGGTCTTTACCCCTTATTGTTCACACGAATCCTTCTTCTATTTCTTCTTTATCTCTCTCTTCTTCATTGGCACCTCTACCGTCGCATCTTCTACTGATGCCTCAGCTCTAAGTACAACTTAATCCTCGCCCACATTGCCTGAAAACACTACTCTATTGGCTAACCCTCTTACACCATCCATAGATGATTTTCATCTTCTCATTAGATTGCACAAAGATATATATTCTTGCACTCAACATCTTATATCTCACTTTGTCTCTTATAATTGCCTTCACCTTACCTTTCATCTTTTTGTCATCTCCATAGCCTCTAAGTTAATTCTACAGTCGCATGTTGAGGCACTCAAGCTTATACTTATAAAGTAGTTATAGATTTAGAGATGAGAGTACTAATTTCTCGAGGCACATAGAAGTTTATTCTTCGTCCGACCAATGCCAACATTGTGACATACAAGTGGGTCTTTATATTGAAGTATAAATCAGATGACTCCATCACTTGTCACAAAGCTCGCTTGATTGCTCGTGATTTAATTGAACTAATTGAACTCTTTTGAGTTTTTCTTTCCTTAATAGTGCATCATGATTGGTCACTTCACTAATTTGACATGTCTAATGTCTTCCTCTATGATAACTTAAATGCACAAATTTATATAAAGTAACCTTCAAGATATATTACTCAAAAGGAGTCTTCTCACGTTTGTTTGACAACATGTTATCTACAAACTCATGCGAAGTCCTCAAGTTTGGTTTGTGAAGTTCAGTGACCTACTTACTACCTTCAGCTTCACTTTATGTATTACTGACCCTATTATTTTGACGAATACTATATCTAGAGGTATGGTCATCTTGACTATGTATGTTGATGACATTCTTGTGACAGGTAGTGATGAGGAATCTCTACTATTAAAGTTTACCTATCAACAACACGTTGTCACAAAAGATTTAAGAATACTGCGCTACTTTCTTATGATAGAGTTTGCTTATCAATTGAGTAAGTTAATTTTATCTCTAAAGAAATATGTCTTCAACCTTCTTTAAAAAATATGGCTTCTTAACTGCAAATCGAAGTCATCACCTATGAAGATATATCTGAAGTTATGAGATATTACTTCACCTTTGATGGAGTATGTTAATTGTTATCGGTGATTATTGGAATAACTGATATATCTCACTATTGCTCGTCCTGACATCATGCATATAGTTAGTGTTCTCAACCAATTTATGTAAGAGCCTCATTTGGTGTATAAGAGGAAGCACTACGTATCCTAACTTATATCAAATGGGCCCTAAAGAAAGGGCTCATCCACAAACATCATGGTCACCTACATATTTAAGTATATTTAGATGTTGAATATACTGCTGATAAAAGAGATCAAAAGTCAACGACTAAGTACTACACATGTTGATTGTAACCTAGTCATTTGGCACTCTTAGAAGCAAAAGGTAGTATCTTGTTTCAATATAGAAGCTGAATATCGTACTATGATTGAGATGGCACATGAAATAGTATGACTTTGCTCTTTTCTAGAGAGTTTGGATGTTACTCCTCAGATATCAATGCGTATGCAGTGTAACAATCAAGCATTAATCTTTATCATTAGAAATCTCACATTATACAAACAGATCAAGCACATCGAGATTGATTGTCACTACGTCTAAGACAAAGTTTTGACAGAGGTTATCTCCACACCATATGCCACTTCATCCAATTAGTTGACGAATATCTTCACCAAGAGGCTTACAAGAGTATCCTATGATGATATATGTATCAATCTGGACATATTAGACTTATATGCTCCAACTTGAGGAGAAGTGTTCAAATATTCTACACTATGTGACCACTTAGGCATATTTTCTCTCTCTTGTCCCACTTATATAAATATATGTATCTCTTTATTTAGTGTTAATCTAATCTTAGGGTTTAACCCTTCTCGTCAATAGTATAACTTATAATGGATCTTCTACTATTAATACATTCAACAAAATTCAAATCAAAATACCTAATGATCTCTAAATAATTTGATTTTTTTTATTTGTGAGTATTTAGTTATTTATCTTTTATATTAATATATAACTCTTTTGGATATGATCAACACCATGATTATTTAAATATCTACTTAATACTCTAATTACGTACATAATATTCAGACTTGTATATACTTGAGCATACATAAGACTTCTTATAATTGATGTATAAGAAATCTTCTACATCTTTTTAGTCTCATAATCATTAAGATACTACTTTAAACTAAACTTGTCTCCTTTAGTAACATGGGTAACATATGATTTACATCCTTACATATCAAATATATTAATGACTTTTTTCATACAGTTTTTCGTGACAATTGGCTTGACTTAATTGTCATAGAGTAAATAACATAAGTTTTCATTTATATAAAATAATAATTTTATATTTTAAAAATATTTTAACATAAATAAATTAATTATAATTTATCAAAATGTTTTAAAAATAGTAAGAAATTTTCAAGTTGATCATAAGGATGTAAAATAATATTTAGTAAGATTTCATAATACCTTCAAAGAATATGATTTTTTATGATTTTTAGATTAAATGATGAAGATAAATATATTTAAAATTTTACAAAAAAAAGAGAAATTTAGGTGCATATATCAGTATGATGTTAGTGCCCCAACGAACATAATTTATACAGAAATAGAGTTATGCTTGATGATCTTTATTTATAAGATTAAAAATAATTTAATTGATCAAATTAAAATTTATAAAAGTCAAAATAATCATAATTGAATGAGGAAGATTTTCATAACTTGAAATAAGACAAAATCTCACTAAGTTAAATAAAAATTAAGTTTTAAACATAAAAGACAAAATTACAACTTCGTGGCAGCTGTCATCAAAATTATGTATATTTGAAATGATTATCATGCAATTTCTATAGCCTCAAAGTTTCTCCTTGGACATAAGGAGAAGTCAAAATATAACTTGATGCTATTCACACTTCAAATAAATATTGGAGTACCAAACTCTCCTCAAATAATCAAACAAGTCTTTCACGTGAAGTACCACACATAACTAGAGTGATCCATCTTTCTTCTAAAAAATGACATGCATATCATAAGGAACTTTAGACTAATTGATGAGTCCTGCATAAAGCAACTTGTTCAATTATCTTTGAGCTTCTATAAAAACATTGGTGTCATCTTGTTTAGGATGTTTGCTAGTGGGTGTATGCCCAATGTATAGGACATTTTTTGGTGTCATCCCATGCTCCACCTCATGACAATGTGGTAAATGTGTTGAAATTCTTTCTATTTAGGTCTTGAAATTCTTCTAAGAGTCATGCAGCTCCAGGTGGGGGTTGGCTCTATGTGCCAGCCTCCATCGCTACTATTGTGTTGTTGTATGTACTAATTTTTAAGTGACACTCAAGTCTTGTGAGTGGACCTCATCATCTAATTCCTTAATGTTTATGAGGTAGGCCTCATTTCTCAATCTATCTTTGTAGTTGTAGGGTAAACAATAATTTACATCCTTAAATTGAAAGCGTTTTCCTTACTTTTGGGACAAAATATGAGTGCACCCTACCTATGGTGAAAACACCAAAATAATGTGAAAAAAATATTTTTGTGTCCATATAAGACAACTATTGTCCATTTGGCTCCATTTTGATACACACAGTCAACACTCTCCCTTAGCAAGTGAGTACCTCTACAAATGAAGCACTCATTCTTGGGAGGTTTAGAGGACATTCCTTCTCTCTTCATGCTACTTCTATCTTGCCTTAACCTTGGTTCTACTTACCTTCAGTCTATCATTTGATAGCCTCCTTATTGTTACCAAGTTCGGTCTTATAGTTCATTAAGGCATCAGTTGCCACTATTGCTAATTGTACATCCCGAATTATTTGGCATTGAAACTATTCCTATATCTAAGTTTGAAGACTAATCATGAAATTGAACTACTTGTTCTCTTTAAACATTTCCTTATGTCCAGGAATATTGAAGCAAACTGCTTCACATACTCCCTAATGTAATAGAGTTGGCAGAGTTTATCTTTGAGAGGAATTGTTCTTTCCATTCCCTCATGAACTTGTCTCAGGTGGGGATGAGGTCCCTATGATCTATGGATTTAGTCATCCGCCATAATTTGATGTTTGACATAAGATACATAATAATAATAACTTGACTCACCTTAAAATGTTGGCCAAAATCTCAAGAAATTCTCAATTTTATGAGTGTCATGAGTCTCTACATATGCCTTGGGGTTATGAAAGGTTGGCATACAATGCACGACACCTCAACTAGATGTGTGCAAGTTACCATATGTTTCAACGACACACTTTTGAGAGGGCCTCAAGCTCCTCTATGTGAGCAGCAGCATTATAGCTCAGCCCTGATTTATCTCATGTGGGCAATGGACTCCATTTCCGACCTCTTTATAAGATGGCCAACCATCTTCAAGTTATAGAGTGGTTAGAAGACCTGCAGATGATGGCAATGAAGGCCATTGGTTCTACTTTCCCTAGTCATCATTGTTTTCTCTAATGCAAAACTGTCTCTCCAGCACTCACTAGCTAAATGCTATTTACCCATGTGATTGGCATTGACGATCCTCCCCAATGCCTACCTAACCTAATCCAACAAAATTAAGGGAAGAATACCAATCTCAAACAAACTGAGGTATGTCCCTTTTAAAAGGGTGCATATACCTTTGAGATGTCATCATGTGACGCCTTGCTCTCGTAAGGTTGTTAGCTACAGTTCTGAGGTATTGATAAGCCCGTTGGCACCTGCTCCCTTCTCACGGCTGTTAGACTGTTCTACCTGATATCCCCTGCTCTGTCCTATGGTTCTTGAAAAATCAATGGATATTGGCAGGTTTTCTGTCCTGCTCTATATATGTACGCCGTTGATGCCGAGCGTGCCGCTTATGTTGGTTTGGTGTTATTACAACATGCCACTTGCCATTGCTAAGAAAAGCAACCCCGAACCCATGCCACAAGCTCGGCAACATCCCACAGCCTCCTCTGCAAACGATAACATAAAGAACTCTGGAAGAAGATCTTCAACGAATAAGGTGTAGTTCTTGGGGGATTCCCTCTCTATTTAAATCTGTTCGAATAATAATGAACAGTTTGACAAACATCTGACGTGGGCTCATGTGTCGGCTTGACGGCCTTATCTTTCAGCTGGACCCACACCCCGACATGTTGATCTACACTTGATGACGTCATCACCAGCAACTGTCCTCGAGGATCCCTCGCCCATTGGGCGACATCTTTTCGTGAACAAGGGACATATCTAACATGAGTTCAGCTGCTTATGGGCCGGAAGAGATAAATGGTCCTTCGCAATAGCATCTAGGCTTCCCAGGCCAATAACGCCTCAACTAACAAATTAGATGGTCTCGAGTCACCCTCTCGTATTCGCACACCAACGAACGGCTAGTAGGCGACCGGACGGCGCAGCTTCCCCAACGGCCGTCTTCTTCCCCATGAAGTCCGCGGCTATTTAGCGAGGCTGAAGTTTCAGACGAAGGCTAAGGATCGAGTGGAATCTATACTGAGCACTTCGGAGGAGGGGTAGTGAGAGAGAAAGAGAGAGAGAGAGAGGAATGGGGAAGTACGAGGATGTGAAGTTACTTGGCGATTGGCCGAGCCCCTTCTCGATGAAGCCGAGGATCGCCCTCAACCTGAAAAAGGTGGACTACGAGCTCATCGTGGAGAAGATGAACCCCAAGAGCGAGCTTCTGCTCAAATCTAACCCCGTCCACAAGAAGATCCCCGTCCTGTTGCACAGAGGAAAACCAGTCTGCGAGTCCCTCATCATTGTGCAGTACATCGACGAGACATGGACTTCCGCCCCCCCATCCTCCCCGCCGACCCTTACGACCGGGCCATCGCTCGCTTCTGGGCGGCCTACATCGACGACAAGGTAACTTGGGGTCACCATTGGCTCGAACTGCCATCGATCCCTCCCTCATCCGCGATGTGATGTGCTCCTTCTGTCTCGATTCTGACTTCGATTGTCGACGCCTCCAGTGGGCCATGCAGGTGAGGGATATTAACAAGGCGAATACAGACGAGGAGCGGGCAGCCGCGGCGGAGCTGATCTTCGCCGGGGTCCAGCTGCTGGAGGAGGCCTTCCAGACTTGTGGCAGGGGGGGAACTGGTTCGGCGGCGACAACGTGGGGTACGTGGACATCACCCTAGGGAGCTACTTGGCGTGGATTCGGGTCACTGAGAAAATGTCCGGCTTGAAGATCCTGGATGGTGACAAGTTCCCTCAGCTGGCCGCTTGGGCTGATCGGTTCTGCGCCGAGGAGGCTGTGAAGGGAGTGATGCCGGAGACGGACAAGCTGGCGGAGTTCGCCAAGACGTTGATGATGAAGCTGAAGGCCGCCTCACCCGCCAAGTAGGAGAATCTCGGGGGGCGCCTTCCTTGTTGCAGTCGTAGCGAACTCCCGATCGGATCCCCTTCTCTTCCCGTTCCCGAATTCAGCATAGTTCGTTTTTGCTCTGTAGCGATCGCTTTCAGTTCCAGTTCCATTCCCCTACTGCAGGCCATTTGGTCCTCTTCGACTCCCGTCGATTCTCTTCCAGATCGATGAAAGGCATCCGTTTGCTTCTCCAAATCGTCCGAGCGTGTACGAAATCCTTCGCCTCCCTCCAATCCGAGCACGGGTCCATCGTCTCTGTTCTCTGTCAGCGAAGCCTCACTCCAAACTCCCAACTCCAGTAAATCTTCATTTACAACTCATTTACGATTATCACCATAATCCGGAGAACTGCGGCTTCCTGCGTCCCCACTCAGAAGCTTGACCACGGGATGCTGATAGGTTCCCCTGTTCTCCGCGAGGCGGTCGGACAGTCTCTGTTCACCAGAGTCCCGAGGGTACGAGGAATTATGTCGGGGGGCGTGGAAGGAGATAGGATACCTGCCTACGAGGATAAGGAGGAGGGCACGAAGGAGAGCCGGTAAAGGAGAGAAAGACGGCGACTCTCCCTGCCACTTAGAGGCGCCTGACCTCCACTCACTACTCTGGAAGTACGTTGAGATCCTCACAACTCAAATGGGCTCAGGGGGAAAGAGGACTTAAAAAAGCCGGCCCAGCCCAGGAACGAAGCAAGGCAGATGGGATTCAGACACGATGGAGCATGACAAGTCTCAGGTCCTGTCAGACCCAATCGAAATGAGACGGGAGGCAGTCGCTGACGCTAGAGGACTCCGGCTATAAAGAGGAGTCGAGTGGCCACAGAAAGAGGAGGTCAGGAGAACCTCGTGAAGAACTCTGCGGAGTGAAGAATTCTCTCATCAGCGACCACAGAAAAGAGAAAAGAATTCTCTCTTTTCTGTTTCCATATCACTTGTCGAGCAGTCTCACTCTCTCTCTCTTCCACTCTCTCCCACTCTCTCCTCTCATAGTCTTGGTGCTCGGAATTTTGTATGAGATAGGATTATTTATTGAACCAGCCTCAGTCAAAGGGTCGTCGTCAATTGGTATCAGAGCAGAACCACGCTTTCGTGGGAACCAAACCCTTTGACCCTAAGCTAGACTCTCTCGAGAAAGAGCTAGAGTAGTTCCGGCACCTCACCAACAATGACCTGGCAGCTCACGTCGAGCAGCTCCAAGCAATACGGGCAGAGTAGGCTGACATGAGCCAAAGACTGGATTCAGTCTCTAGCCAACTAGGGTTGGTGCTCTAGATCCTTGATAATGTTCAGTGCCAAATAGACATCTCTTCTAGTCAAGTTGACAAGGCCAAGTTATTCTCAGAGCCATCAAAGGAGTGGCCCCCGTGACGAGATTAAATCGTATGGTCGTTGAATGCACACGATTTAATGTCAAAACAAAGTCCTAATCTTACCAATTTATGATTAATCAAAGTAATTAATTAGTATAATGGTAATTAAGGGTCGAATCCACAGAGAATTAGGGAAATTTGAGATATATCTTTGAAATTCGGTCAAATCGGACGATGAAATTAGGTTAGAAATTGGGCAATTTAGTATATTAAGAAAGATAACTCAATTTCGAATCCAGGAATTAAAAATAAGGTGATTTGGATGAGAATTCGAAGAGTAATCGAAGTTTGAAGTTAAGAGAAATTTTCGTATCGCGAAATGATTAAAAACAGAAATTAAAACTAAATTAAACTTAATCTAAAATACTTAAAGTAAAATTAACACTAAATGATGAAAGATTAAGATGAAAACAAACAATATAACCCAAATTAGCCTTCGAAATGATCCAATTAATCGCCGGATGCAAGGCTTTTCATTCCGAATTTTCGAAGACGAAAGAGGAGTTCAAGACTTGATTTCTTCCAATTCTTTCAATAAAACATTGAAATTAAACATCAGATAGAAGCGGAAATAAGTTGCAAACACAATTCAAAAGATGGCGCGCGAATTGGAGCTCTAAAAAAAAAGAATTTGAAGATTGATCGCGGGCCGTTCTTCTGTCACGAAGAACGGATTTTATAAAATTCGGAAATGATCGTGGCCGTCCGATCTGATGGAGTTGATCGCGATGGACGATCGCGATGAGACGCCTCTTCACGAATCGTCGCGACGATTCGACGATCGTCCGATCGTGATCGTGCGGTTAAGATGTGATTGGATGTCCATCTGATGTGAACAATCTGGACCGTTATAACTCTCGATCAGACGGTCGCAATTTATTCACTTAAGTGAGTATTTAGGCACGTGGTTGATCTCTGATCGCGTGGACCTCGAATCCACGTGATCTACGCACGCTATTTGTTGCTATGTCGATCGGACGCACGAGATCACGCCACGCGTCCTGCACATAAGAAAACTAAGGGACTTTAGTCCACACGGGAAAAACAAAGGAGTATATTTGGGTATATAAGATATGACGATTAAGAGGGATTAATACTTTGTCTTCCGATAATCGGAAGACCTATATACTTTATTAAATAAATATATATAGTAAATATAAATACGCCACATGTCACATCAGCGCCATGCAGGCGCCCACGTGCTGTCCACGTGGCATAGCCACGTGGCCCCGAGTACCACGTCGCATCTACGTGTACACGCGCGACATATAACCCCTTTTTGCGATTTTTTTAATTAATTTAAAACATTTAAAAATAGAAAATAAATATAAATAAATTCAGAAAAATTCCAGAAATTTCTATAAAATTGTAAAAATCATAACTTTCAAAATACGACTCCAAATTAATTCAAATTTGTTTTGTTGGATTCAAAATTGAATAATCTATCATTATAAAAGATCAAATTATTAAAATAAGAAGAGAATAAATTTTAATTAATTTTATACATTTATGTATTATATAAAATAAATTTCTATAAATACATAAATGTTAATAAATATCTTTTCTCTCATATTTTCACTCTTAAAACATGATTATGATCATAAATATAATTAGGATTAAAGATTGTAATGTGTAATTATTTATAATAATCCATAATTTGGTGTATTTTAAGATCATAACATGAATTTACACAAAATGATAGAAATATACTTAAAATATGATAACATGCATATATTTGTAATGATTAATGCCTTAATTTGCATTAATAATTATATAATTACATGCATAAATAGCATGTTATCACCCCGGAGAAACCAACACAGGCCAACCTTCGATCCCGTCAAGTAACCCTTGTTACCAAGAGGATCCAATTGTCAACTCATACCTCCACGATGAACCGCCTGACCACCGCCAACTGTGAGAGCCTCTAGAACCCAACCCCCAGCAACGATTGGAATTTTCAATCTTCACAGGTTCCAACCCTAAAGGTTGGATATATTACATGGAGATCTATTTATCCACCTACTGGCTAACAGCAACCAAGCAACTGGTGAAGGCATGCATCAGCATGGACAAAAGGTTCTCTATTGATTCCAATGAGTTGAATCTGAGCAGTCATTCTGCATCTAGGAAGACCTAAAGTACAGGCTGTTGGAACGCTACGGAGACAAACTTTCAGCTCCTTCGGCTAATAATTTCTCGAACTCGAGTAGATGGGGTCAGTGGAAGACTACCAATAATAGTTTGAACTATTGTCCCATGTACTCCGCAATGTGTCAAATGTCATCCTAGAAGGAAACTTCCTCAAAGGTCTATAGCGGAAAATACAAGCATAAGTGATCACCCTCAAATCACAAGGCTTAGAGGTGATGATATAAACAGTTTAGAGGGTAGAAACCAAGTTGATGATGCTGACTAATGGAGGTCGACCACGACAAGGCAAAGGGATAGAGAGAGGGTTTATGGTGTACGATGGGCGCAAGATACGCCCCCCACCGAATGATGTGAGCAATCGTGAAGAGGGTAGGGCCCTGGACCAATGGCATATGGCCCACAAATCTCCACTATCGAGCACCTCCGGTGGACTGTCGTCGCCACCTACACCTCACAGCTGCTGAAATTCAAGCATGATGGGCACAAGGCATGTGTTTCCACTATAATGAGAAATTTTGTGTCTGATCATCAATGTAGACAAGAGTTGAATATTATATCCACTTCTGTTGACTCTAATTATGCATCATATGATACACAAGTAGAGTAGTTCTCTCAAAACCCATCCCCAAATGAAGGCGAGATCGTCCAGCTTGAAGTGTCCCTCTACTCATTATCCAGTCACTTCCATGGGCGAGCAATTCACTTCAAGGGGACGGTCCAAGGGTGACAGGTTTTCACTTTGCTTGATATAGGGGCCACATTCAATTTCATCAGCATTCGCCTGGTCTGAGAGCAGCAACTACCAACCATTAAAGCGACACCTTACAGACCAGCACAAGCGAGATAGTCCTCAACTCAAAAATGTGACATTGCCTCGTCATCTTAAATGACTTCCTACTCTTTCCCCTCATCTTAGTTGGCATAATTTTAGGGATGCATTAGACCAAAGACAGGCACAAGTTGGAGCTCAATTTGGATGATTAAATAGTGTCATCTCCTGTCAGAAATGAGAAGGTGATGATCGCGGCAAAACCCTATGACCAAGAAAATTGACAGTAACTAAACACTTCTATCAGTAGACCATGCACGGGTGAAGCATACTTCAAGATGTATCATGGCCTAACAACGTCATGGTATCAAATGAACACTTAACAAAAGAACTTTATTAGCATTTTTGCCATGTCTTTGCAGACATCATTGGTCTTCCCCTAGCCCACAAATAAGAGCATCGCATCATCACAAAGTCAGGAAGTCAGATTATCCATACCCATCCCTTCCACTATCCTCATTTTTTGAAAACCAAATTAGAGAAGTAGATGGAAACCATGCTAACAACTAAGCTTATTCAACATTCTCACAGTCCTTTCTCCTCATCTATAAGAAAGACAACTCATAACACTTCTGTGTGGATTACTCTGCATTAAATAAGGTGACCATTCTAGATCATGCACTACAAGTT